AAAAAAAAAAAAAAAAAAAAAAAAAAAAAAAAAAAAAAAAAAAAGACCAGAATTTGTTACTAGAAGGAAGACACACAAGGCTAGTAAAATAGGAGGGTACAATAATTTTACTTTGACAAAATGGTATAGAAATGAATGTCTCACCAAGAAATAACGGCATTTTAATGGAAACATAGATAAAGGTATCATACTTGTAAGCCTACGAACAGAAATATATGCCTTTAGGCCCTAAAATTGGAAGAAAATGAAATTTACAGTTGCTGACCATAATTGGTTGATTCTTTCATGCTTTCTTGTTCAAGAATGTGTAGGGTAGACATTCAAACTTTCGACTTCTTAGTCGATAGTACATATATTTTAGGATTGTTGGGAAGGAGTCCAACATTGACAAGTTAAGGAGATGATCATGGGTTTATAAGTAAAGAATACATCTCCATTGGTACGAGACCTTATGAGGAAACCAAAAGCAAAACCATGAAAGTTTATTCTCAAAGTAGACAATATCATACAACTGTGGAGAGTCGTGGTTCCTAACATGGTATCAGAGTCATGCCCTTAACTTAGTCATGCTAATTGAATCCTCAAGTGTCGGACAAATAAGTTGGTAGCCTCGAAAGTGTAGTAAAAAATGATTCAAGTATCGAACAAATGGTGTACTTTGTTCGAGGGTTCCAAAGAAAGAGGTCGAACCTCGATTAAGGAGAGGTTGTTTGAGGGCTACATAGGCCTCAGGAGAGGCTTTGTGGTGTACTTTGTTCGAGGGAATGATTGTTGAGAATTATTGGGAGGGAGTCCGACGTTGGCTACCTAAGGAGATGATGATGAGTTTATAAGGAATGAACTTGGGGACTAAGGTTGTAAATTGAGCCTAAATAGTGCCGATAGTTACTGGGAGAAATGAATGATAAACCATGATTATCATTAAAATTAAATCGTACATACCTCTCATCTTCGAGGAACAGAAAAACCTACCTTGGTAGGAGAATTAAATTTCATGCTTGGTGGAATATTTTTATCCACGGCCAATAACATGCCAAACAATTATGAACATAGGAGATATATCTACACAAGAAAAAGCCATACCAAAACCAGTGAACAAACGAGCAATCAGTGGTTGGCCATGAAGTTCTTGCATCAGTCCTCTAATACATGAAGTCGTTCGAGCTCAAGAATATGTCCACTCAGAAGGGCGGTCCCATTCGTAATGTTCCTGCCTCTGCACTGCTGCAACTGTTCCCGGAGGCTTCGCACAACTTCATTGAGCCTCTGGATATTCCTTTCTTGTGACAACAATATCTGCACCAATTCAATAGAATAGGTGTAAAATGATTATACTAGAATAGAAAACGTAGTAGAATATCACGATGTAGAAAAACAAAGCTCAGACAAAAATGGGAACTAAACGGCAGGATAAGTTGTCTATCTGAAAAGGTGGCAAGAAACTGTCTATTCCTCAGGTAATAAAATAAGTACCAGGACTTCCAAGAACCCCACGATCCCCCTTGATGTCATGTTATACATTCCATCTAAAATGGCGGCTCGTAGGCAATGCTCAAGCAATTGAAATTTGGGATTGGTATGATGTTTCTCTATGAACTTCTATTAATTCATTAGTTCTGCCACATCAACTGACAGATTTTTGAATTCCTGTAACTTATCATCCTCTCAGCAACCAGCAACGTTTATACCAAATCTGAAAGTAAAGCCAGGTGCAATTCAACGTGCCACAGCCTAAGTCAGGATATGAATCTAAATAAAAATATAATGACGGTAACGATCATAACAAAAATTAGACTTAAGGATTCTCTTCATCTGGTTTTTAAATTTTGTGCCTGTCAAATTCAGCTTTCAACTGGTTTATTATTTTTGTCCCTGTTAAATGGGCTTACCGGGTGCAGATACCAATATCCCTCATCCTTTTTCTTTTTGTAGTTATATTTTTCTGTTTTTTACCCAAAAAGGCGCCCCATGGTTCGATCTAACATGAGCATGGAGGAGTCGTCAAGCTAAACCTAACTTCTATTGGTGTAGTTTATTAAGTCTATAACATTCAACAGAAAAGATTTAGGCTGAAAAGATGCTTATCATTTACTCAAGGCCAGATTACTTTTTCAACCCCTAAACAAATAGTTTTCAATTCTGCTCCTAAACAAGTTTTGAAGATGTCTTCCAACTTTTGATAAACTCAATATCACCCCTTCAATAACTCCATGAAACAGAAATGTATAATTTATAACAAACCGAAAAAATGTAGTCAAAAGTTAAAATTACAACACGATATTTAGTTTGAACATAAAATTGTAAGATACACACATTTCATGGTTCTTCTATAAATTTCTTTAAAGGCATGCTCAAAGAAGAATTCTTAAAAAAAATTAACATGAAGGAAATATTTAACAGATACAATCTCAAGGGCTCATCTATGTGACTCAGATAACACATTATAGGATCACACAAGAGATTCAAAAAGAAACTTACACTAATTGAAAGGCAGATAGAAAAAAAAATGGCCAACAAACAGCACTCAGAATGAAGAGGATGATAATGATTCTCTACCTGGTTAAGAATTTATGCGTTTATGATTTAACTGGCCTCAGCATTCAGTGACATGTAGCTCATTTTTCAGGGGTAGATATAATTTAAGCTTTCATTTGACCATATGCAGGACATAAATATTTTTCATTCAAGTCTAACCTTAGGCAGAAAACATAAAATAATCGCTACTTTTCAAGCAACCGTGTGGAGCAACTCCTTTCCTAACCAGGACATACAATCTACTTATGACCTATACTTTCTTCGTTTCTCTATTAGGACAAGCAAGCTTTTAATGTCCTAAAATTAAGGTAACATCTGCAGCAAAAAGTAGTTTAATAAATGACATGAGATATAACCAAATTGGTAATTAAGACATTTTCTTCAGCTCAAAGAGTGGCTTGCTAATAATCAAAATATAACAATTGAAAACAAAGATTAATACTATTCAGATAGATTGGGTAATCTCCATATCTTTTAGACACTTCCACAGAAAAATCAAGCGTTAATTTGGCAATAGTTACAATTGCTGCTTCAAACCCAGTACTATGTCCACAGCAAAGGCTCGATTATCAAACTTATTGCCATGTATATGCTAAATCATTAAAATGTTCATTGGTGAAATCTTGCCAAGAGTATCAGCCAGATTACTATTTTATTTCTAGTGCATCACATAGAGAGGATCACTTTTTTCTTTTTTTAGGGGGGAAACTGAAACTCATAATGGAAGCATGAATCATGCAATGTTTGCTCACTAGTCCTATCCTAGAACTCCTAGAATTCTCGAGTTAAATTTATTACTAATTCATTCTTCTTCTATTGCTCGACCAGCCAAACTATTTAACATGCCATCCTAAAGTTATACCCAGGGAAAAGAAATCACTACATTACATAATTAGAAAGTATCCTGCACCCTGAATGTAGCACGATAGACACAGCTACCGATCCACACTCTACACCCCTGTGCGCCTGAACTAATAATTCAGCCTTCCTAAACGAATGACAAACAGATATTCACAAGTATTTCAATTTAGGCCATCATAAAGCATAAGTTCATTTAAAAGAAAACGGTACGGTTGATGGTGTAATTGTAGAGGACATATTACCTTCTCCTTAACTGCTTCTTCCCTCGTTGATATCTGTTGCTGCTTCTGGGAGTTTACCCTGGTATCAACCTCAGGTACTAGTTGTTGCTTCCACTCGAATTGAGAAGTGATAATGAGAATAACGAACAAAAACACAAGTAACATGGATCTGGACATCTTTACAAAGGGCTGTCGATATATCTGCACATGATTAAGATAAGATTCAACTATCACACCGCATTGAGTTATATAAACGCATAAAAGACCTCGCACAGACATAAAACAAGCCTGAAAATCAGGATTCACAGAGCAACCCTGGGCGTAGCGATTTGACCTTGGATGAGGTTCAAACAATGATCGATTTGGCTTAAATGGAACTCAGGATATCGAAAATGAAGAAAAGAAGAACTTACCTGTGGACAGCTATGAGAATTGAGAAAAACCCTAAGTCGAAGATCAAGCGGGGAATTCGTGGTAGCTTCTTTAATCTAAACTTGGCGTAAGATGGCGAATCAGAAAGCGGTTCCGCACTTTTGGAGAACAGTATGGATCGCTTGAAAATTAAGGAAGCGGAAGATAGTCACGAACCCTTCAATTCAACTGTAAACCGGCTGCGGCGAAGCTTTGGAAGATGGCAAACACGATTTCAGAAGGTCGCCGACAAACAAGAAGATACTGCTTCCAATTTGGACGCGCTTCAGCTTCACGTTTTAACGCGCGCAAGTGACCACACCGGCATTAATTATAATAACAATTGTCTTAAATTTTTAAATCTTAGGACAAAAAAGAATAATAATAATAATAAGAATATTTATTTCACTTTTCATCATATTGTTTTTTAATAAATACATAAATTCACATATATACGTATTTAATTGGTTGATTTAAATATACTAAGTTAGTATTAAAGTTATTTTTCAATTATTTATTCTAAAATAGGCACATAAATAAAATAGTTTTTTAAAAAAATTAAAGACTAAAATATCAAAATGGGATATAAAAGATCGGGTCTTTTTTTTATATATAAACAATATACGATACCGATGGGTCAACTACCATAATTAGAAGAATATGTATAAATGCTTGAAAACAAATAAATAAAAAGAGGGAGTGACGTTAACATAGCCATGAATGTAAATGTAACAATGAACATGATAATTATAAATTACAAAGTAGGTGAAGAGAAACTATAAAAATGATGAGAAGAAATGTTAGAAGACCAAGGTTAATATAGACGTTGTTATGCTCTTGCTTCTTCAACTTAATTCTCCTCGTGGTATTGCCTAGAAACGGTGAGGCCTCCGCATCTGCCAAAGCGGTTGGTATGGGCAAGTGGGTGTATTTCTCCGATTCCGAGAAGTTCATGATCATCGGAGTCGGATTGTGAGTTGCAGATAGCAAATTATCGTCCAATGTAATTATGTCGTCTTTCAACAAATCCGCATACAATTCTTCATCTTCACCGTTACCCTTCAAAGATTGACATCCAATCATTTTTTTATGACTCGGAAAAAAAAATTAAAAAAAAAAAACATTTTTCTTACCATATAATTATACATATTTATAACTATTTTTAATATAAAAAAAAATAGCTATTTTTAATATTAAAAAATAAAATAGAAATTTTAAAAAAAGGCAAAGCGACGGGTTTGGGAATTGTGAAATTGAAGGTGAGAATCTGATGAAGCTGACCTTTTCACGACTGAGGGATTCGTGCAGCGCCGGGTCGGACGTTTCTTTGCGACGGAATTCAATGCCCGAATCAGTTTGCTCCAGCGAATGAGAATCGAAACTACTGCTGCAGTTCTTCGAAAGCCTATCGCTTTCACCCCCCACCTTCTGTCCAACTCCGCCGTCCCCATCCTCGCCGGAACCCTGCACTTTACTCGAACCCGCCTTGTCGGAGTTGTTCCGGCGAAAATCGTTGTTCTTCCGGAGACGACAAACCACCATGGAATTAGAATCCTGCTGTCATACAGTAGTTTACGTAAGCAGCAAAGGAAAAGGAAGGAGGAATTGCAATTGAATTTGACCTGGGAGGTGTCGTTCAAGCAATACTCGTGCATAATCCACTCTGTTCTCTCCCCTGTTGGAGCACGTCCTAAATGGAAAACCAGAGTCCTCTTTGTTCCGATAATCTCCGAGCCGGACTTCACGTTTCGCTCTTTTCCGGTGGCCTTCCAGTACCCCAATTCGGTCGCCCTCTTGTTCTGTGTTCCGTTTGGGTATTTTCTTCCTCTCGGAGAGAAGAAGAACCACTCGTTGTCGGAAGGGATTCTCGATTTCCCTGTTTTGAAAACCAAATTAAAAATGACCAAATCAGCCCTGTTTAGATAGGAAGTGATGAAGGAAGGAAGGAAGGAAGGAAGGAGAAAAGGGCAAACCGGGAAGGTCCCATGGCTCGAATTTGCAAATCTCGATCTCGGAAATGACATCGACGCTGTCGTCGGAGCCTTGGAGCTTCTTCTTGAGGTAAAATAAAATCAGTTCTTCGTCTTTGGGGGAAAATCTGAAGCCGGGGAACATGGACAGAGCTGCCATTGACATCTCCGCCTCTCTTGAAACTCCTCCCATTGCCCCCTTCCCCTTGGATTCCAGTTTGTGTTGGTTTTGTTTGTCACAAATTCTAACTGGAATTCGTTTCTTTAAGGCTTTCGGAATTGGGAAAACAAAACTTCTTGACTCCGCCGTCAACCTCGGTTAAGCCGTCTTGTGCTTCGCGTTATGCTTTTCTTCATTTCTGCTTCCGGGTTGCTCCTGTATTCAGATTCGTTCCCCCCCTGCTCCGCCGTCTCTCACGTGCTCGCTGCCTCTCCGCCCACTGGAACCAACCACCCTGCTTCGCTCCGCTCGTCGGCTGCCGAACCGAATGCCACCATCACCTATTGCTAAACAATTTTTATATTTTCTCATTAATTTTGGTCCTTTAATTTACCATTTATATTCTCATTTTTTGAGAAACATTTGTAAATACCTTGATTATAGTGATTGGCTACCACTCTCACACATGGAAATTTTTGTATTTTTTGTTTATTTTTATTTGTGGGCATGGGCTATCAATTTTGTGTCCACTCCCGCGACAATAATTGGATATCAAAATATTTTGATGGCAAGATTATGATACAACAAATGGGATCAAAGCATTGAAGGTCGTGACATTACACCTTAATAAATGGTATTAGAATATTGTAAAAAACTAGCTTCATCAACCATTAGACCGGCTTACTCCATCAATTTTAACACGAAATTAAAAATGGCGAAAAAAAATTAGAAGTTCTTAAAATAATATATTGGATATGGTGGCAGTCTATTTACATTTTCGGTCGTATTTTCTTCCTTAAAAGCCACCGAAAGTAGCCCTTTGGAAGCATTGAATAATATTATATGATATGTGGAAGAAGAAAAGATTCTTAATCAAAGTAATTCCCAATGAAAAAGAAAACGAAAAACAGAGTTTTTATACGTAATTATGTGTATTTAATGATCATCCCTTCATAATCTGTGGAATCCCATTATGATTATCCGTTTTAGCAGCTGGAATTTGATCCAATTCTGGCGTTGTTTCTGGAAATAGAATATCACGAAGGCAGTTGAGAGATTTAACTTGATGATCATCGCCCTGTTCTTGAAGATCATGACTAAAAAGCTCTGAAAATCTGTTTGAATTTTGTTGGTGGGTGGCCGTCGATGGGTTAGTTGTGTTCAAGCAAATACTTCCCCATTGGATTTTCTCAGAAATGGGATTTGATTTTTCGAATGAGTTCTTTTGAGAGCCGCCATGGACGAAGCTCCATCTGTAACTCTTCTTGTCATCGCCGTCGTCCATGTTGAGCTCAATCGAGTGCAGATCACTTTCCTCTGAATCCGAACATTCTTGTTCTTGATCTTGATCTCGACATGACCCGAAATTGATTCTCTTCAAATACGCTTCCAATTCCTTAATTTTCTCAAATTTGTTGCAACAATGGTCTTGTTCTTGTTCATCATTTCCGACGAGATAGCCTTCAAGCTGGTGTTTAAGTCTTTCCACGGCGGCGTTTTTCTCCTCAAACTCAAATTTCGCCTCCGACAGCTTCATCTGAACTCTCTCCTCCCGTAAAACATCCACCAAACGAAGCATTTCCCTCTCCTTCTCCACTTCTTCTCTCACCTTCGCCGATTCCCTCTTCAACTCCTCGAACTCCGCCCTGTCTTCTCCAATCCCCGCCGCCAACTCCTCACAAATCTCCTCCAATATCTCCTTCGCTCTCTTCTCCCTCTGCAAATCTCTCCTCAATTTCGAAACCAACACTTTGGTATCAGCAAGCTCCTTCGCAATGCTCTTGTTCAATCTCTCCGCTTGTCTTCTACGCTTCTTCTCAACCTCAATTTCCTCCGCCATTGAAGTAATAGCTCTCTCTCTGTTCTTCCACGCCGCCTTCATAACAACCTCAATTTCATCGTCACGGAACCTCTGTTCTTTCATTATTAATTCATCCACTCCGCTCTTCGCTCGATCCACCTCTGATTTCAGAGCTGAAATCAGAGACAAAGCTGATGATTGCCGCTGTTCTTCATGTCCACAAACATGATTTAAAACTCTTAAAAGCTCCTTTGATGTCGTCAGCCAATTGCTCACTTCCTTCAAACGGGTTTTCACCACATTACCATTTTCAATCTGCATTCATTTGATTTTAGAAATTGTGTTTAAAACAATCAAATCTGGTCAAGAATATAATTAATCATTTGGATTCTTTCTTGAATTAAAATATTTGAAAAATCAAATTAAAAAATAAAAAAGGGTGCCGCAGAAGTACAGATGGAAAATGACAGGAACCGAAAACAAGTGATGGGTGAAAAGAGAATAGAATTGATGATTTCGTGGAAAGGAAGCAATAATGGATGAATCGTACCTTCATTAAACAGTCTTTGCCATGAAAATTCGAACCACCCATCACCTCCCCTGTTCCTGTTCTTGTTGCTGTTCTTCTTCTTCCCAGTACTCTGCCACCTTCAACCTTGTAAAATTTTTATAAACACAAGTTTAATCAATGGAATCCCACTTTCCAGAGCTCAATACCCAAATCAAAATCATAAACTCACCTCTGTTTCTAAGATGTTGAAACTCGGATCCGGATCTGATAAACACGAGTGCCAGATCTGAGAAACCAATTCCTGGGTTTTGATTACCTCCTTCTTCAACTTCTGGGTTTTCTCCGCCGCTGATTTCGGGGCTGAAACTGAAACAGAGCCATGTTTACCCTTTCCGCCACCGCTCTCGATTGAGCACGACGGCGACTGGTTGGCCAAGTCGCCGGAAAATAACTTGGAAGAATGGGAGTTTGTGTTCATTTTCCAAGTGGGTGGCTTCTTGAATCTATACTTACGGACCAAAGTGGAAGAAGACGGCGACGATAAACACACCCGTTTTCTAATCTTACATTTCTTCTCTGTTTTGTGGTCTGTCCACGACATTATTTATGTTTCAAAAAACCCAAAAAGGGGAAGAACAAAAAAGGAAAACCCGAGAGGTTGGAATTTTTTGTGAAGAGTTTACTTAGTCGGCGGTGGGCGTTGCAGAAATTACGGTGGAGTTGATGTGAGCGTGAGAGAGGGTTTTGGTTTATAGTAGGAAAGTTTGAAAGAGTAAGCCTTGAATTCAGCGACGAAAAAAATCGAAAGTATTAAAGATTCTATTTTTTGGTCGGGCGGGCAGTGTTGACTCAAAGGGATCTCGAAACCCAGTAACAAAAAAACAGAGAGGATAAAAAGAAACAAAGAAACAAGGCGTTTGTTTGTTTGAATGGGAACAATACCTTTGTTTCAGAAATGTTAAGAGGGAAAGAGATGAAGTGGCAGCCACGTAGGCATCCAACAGTCAGTCAGGGGGGTCCACGTGTAAATCAGCAATTTAGAATCTTGACTGGGGTTCTGCGGATTTACATTCCTTGCCATTCCAGCCATTCCTGTCTCCTGGGTGGAACAAGAATGTTCTGTTTCTTTTTCTTTGCTGCTCGCTCTGTTTTGTTCCTTAGGTCACAGCAGGTCACGTTATGGGTTCCTTTTAAGTGCTAGACAATCTCTCCATAATGGTATGATATTATTTGCAGCTAAAGGCCACGAGTCAATAGAAAAAATATTATTTAATTATGATCACAAGTTTATTTTCTAAATTAATTGCTGAGATGCATTGATTCTGATGTTCTGGGTGTTCTTGGGGCAAGAAGTGGCTTGTCTTTATCCATTCAAAAAGAAGGGGATTCGGAATAATGCATTTAATGATCTTTTGAGGTAGGATTTTTGTTTGTGTTTTTTTTTTTTTTTTTTTTTTTTTTTTTTTTTTTTTTTTTTTTTTTTTTTTTTTTTTTTTTT